ACTCAACACTTCTTTGATTGGATACATGACACATTCGACCCGTGAAGATCTCGGGGTAGAATAGGTTTTCAGCAACTCATGCTTGCCATAAAAGGCGACTCTGCTTGCGGTAACAGGCGACTAACGGGATCGGGTGGTCAGGCTCGCTGACTTGGTTGATACATGTCATCGATCCAAATTGCGTGGAACGATGCTCATGATATTAATCACTGGATTGTCTGGTCCAGACTCGATTATTTATAGACCGCCATCAGAAAGCTGGAATATTGCTGAGTGCGGCATTAAACAACAAACAAACAAACAAACAAACATGACACATTCTGGCGGCTGTGGGCGAGCAGTCTCTCCAATATATTTATCTCCGCAGTTGCATGAGATCCCATGCGAACATATATGGCAATCATGGTTTGTTTGATCTGTGGTTGGACATACTTCAGCTGGAATGGCAAGATCCATCCGCAGATCAAACACCTACATAGAACTTTATTGGTTTCTCTGCTGCTAAATCAATTGACTTCGCGTCAATAAAAAAGCGTCATGTATTCACGTTTTTCGAACTAAGGACTTCTCGTATTTGAATTTCGGAACTGAAACAATTTTCGAAACAGACCAAGAACATGTGCATCTAAGACTATGACGACAAATAACATTGTACTATTTCCAAAAAAGTCAATATCAAAGAAACCAATATTGAAAATCCTTCTAAATGCGGCTTCATTACGGCTTCAATGAATAGACACAGTGCCTGTGAGTATAGTGAAGGGGGATATAGCGTGCATCCTCCTGTCTGTATCTCACGAGGATCCTTTTACTTCCTGATGAGATCTATTTTCCTGATGGAAGAGCTTCAGTTTAAAGTGTTAGGCTTTGTCCCATATAACTAGCAGGGTGGACTATCAACACATGCCTATGTAATGGGTGTAGTGGTTAGAGTGGCTTGTTTGTTTTGAGAAACACAACTTAGAAAAAAAATAGACCTTGGCACGGTGCAATCTCAAATACAGTAAACTACGTTTATAACGAACTCAAAGGGACTACCAATTTTAGTTCGTTATAACCGTAATTCGTTATAAGCATATATACAGCATAACTACAGCATATAGTCGGGACTAAAAAGTTAGTTCGTTATATCCGAAAGTTCGTTATAAGCGTGTTCGTTATAACCGTAGTTTACTGTTTATATTTTGTCTGTACAACAAGGGTTAATTAATAGGTTCTGAACCTCGCTTAGAAGGAAAAGCGAAATTGTGAAGTCTTTGTTGAGGATATTACTTGATGTCATAGAGGTATATCCAGAAAAAAACTTAAGTCTACATGTCGAATTAATCATATTGATTCGCTGTGAGATGTCATGAAAAGAGTCAGGGATCTGTGGCCTTTGGCAAACTGACAAATTTAGGAACGTGCAGTCTTAAAGTTCGAAATATCACTCCTTTACATTTAGTATATCCCTACATAGGTTCTAGTATTATTTGTGGATTCAAAAATCGAAAATGTTAAGAAAGAATAAATGGCTAGTTGTCAGCATTAGAACACGTCTGGTGAATTTTATACCACCATTTCAAAGGTTTCCATTACCTTACAATGGCAGAGGAGACCACACAGGGCCTTTATCTCGTCCTTTTGTATATTAGCCCGAGACAAATCCCCATTTAGTGTCTACTCTGCATTCTGTTGCGACGCCCTTGCTGAAACACGCGAACGATATGCTGCCTTAGAAAAACTGAGTAGCGATAGGACTTGTCATTTAGACCTGATGCCCTTAATATGAGTAAGGCATATGTATCGCGCAGACAGTATTCACCGGAAATAAAAGCCGACCACTTGTAATAGAAACGAACATATGATTTGTCAAATATTCTTTGTGAAGAAAAGTGCTACCCAAACCAATAACAAACTTAGCGGTAATATCTAGTATGCCGAACTTGTTTTCTATGTCATTGTAAACTGAAAGAACTGTTGTTAAATTGGACTCTGTCTATTAAACCATAACTCATTCCTGCAATAGTTTGCAAAAGTAATGTGTGGCTGTGTAATATTGTTTAAAAATATATTGATTCAATGAAGACTGGCATAAAAAAGAGATTGCGACTATATGCCCCCTGCCATGTTTGAAATGTAAATTTGTGCCGAAGAAGCAAGTTTATTTATTTTCAAAGATTACTTTCTAACATACCCGTCAGCAGTTGTGAATAATGCGAAACTTATATTAATTCTTTTTTAATTTTACATTTTTTTAAATCAAATTTTATATTAATGAAACCAAGTTGAGGTAATCTTTGAGTGCTGACTTAACGCCAACTTTAGATAATTTAAATTGAAAATCAAACATACGATAAAACCAACTGAGGGGTATAGTTTCTGTAGCCCCACAGTTTAGCTTTAGTTAGTATCTGAAACTTAAGTGTAGCAAGTAGTGTGTTTTCTGAATATAGGTCTGTATCAATCATTCTACATTCAATGTAATTGTAGATGGGTGTGTACAGGTCATGTACCTTCCGATTGTAACGGGGCCAATGCTAAATGACAACACAGGAAGTTGATATCGGTGGCCCAGACGTCTAATTCGCTGTGCAGAGTTGCGTCCCTTCGACACGCCAGAAACCTATGGTTGTGGGTTCGAATCCCGGTTCGCCCCGATTATGTTTCTAAATTTGCCAAACCGAAACCTCTGCGGATGGATGGATTTTTGCTTGTCCCCAGCGCTTCGAGTTTTCACAATTATAAGTCTCGGTTATGTTTTTCTGAATTTTGAACTGGTTTCGATTGTCAGATCCAGAAAAGCCGTCATAAAGTTGGAATATTGCTGAGAGCGGAGTTAAGAAATATACAAACGAAACGTATCCTAAAAATCGAGTGCAGTACGGCCAACTGTTCACTGTTTTACTGAGAGCGGCGTTAAACAACAATCAACCTAGGTATCTTTTTATTATCTAAGTACGGCAAACTGTACGTTGTATAACGCATTGTACACAAATAAACACCATCAATAGTCTATATTTGTCAACACAGTGCCTCATAAAAAAATAAAAAATGCCATAGTTTAAATCATCGGAGCTTATAATGAAAACTTTGATTAGCATTCACAAGAACGTACAACAGTAAAATATACGTGTAGGATCTTCCTGTCCCGTCACATTTAATACGACATTCGTAGACTTTGTCAATAATTGCTTCCCGGCTGCAAGCGGGTTTGTCATGATTATCGAGGAACTAAAACGAACAATGATTCAAGTCAATAGCAGCACGTCAAAGATCAAAAGATCTACCTAATAGACGTTCAGATAATCACGACGTATTAATAACAGCAGTATCGGTTACAGGCATGACATATTTGGGTCGCATCAGACGAATAATTAATTCACCTTCAAAAACAAACCACAGACGCCTTACCATAAAAAAGTCTTAAGACGCCAGACTCCTTGCAAGACAATTAACAGTATTATAAAAATCGAAAATGAGCAACTTTGATTTAATTATAACTTTAGGATGCATGTATGATGTATGAGCGATCTCAGCACATATAAGTCAAACAACCCATAAAGGTTGTTCGCTTGGGAAACAATTATGGCATTGGGACATTAATCAAAGAGCAGGCACGCGATACCTTTGTAACGGAAGACCGACGTATGACGTCACGTAACGTGCCTTTCCTTACAGCGACGAAACTTCAAAGAACTGACGGTAATCGTAAAGATATACACTGACGATAAGACCGCACCAGGAGGAAATAGAAGGTATTGATAACCACTCTGACGATCTTGATCAGAGTACCAAACTTGAGGAATAATGTCATTTCTGAGGTATTGACGTTAAACGTCACCATTGTATGAGTGAGTGAGCTTGATTTAACGCCGCTCTAAAGAGTATTCCAGTTATATCACAGTGTGTCAGCTTCATGTGGGAGGAACCTTGTTTCAGGCGTTTACCACTTTGGGACACACATGGGTTCAGGTATGGTGCCTACAAACCTAGAAACATACGGCTGATCGGGATTCGAACCCCCATCACAGCCTTCTGGTACGCCAAAAAGATGCAGCTCTGGAACATCCGTGGTCATCACCATTGTATGACTACTGCCAAGTACTGTCAAGTACTGCCAAGTACTGCCAAGTACTGTCAAACATGCAGCGACTTTGCGATTAGAGTGTCGCGCCTGTGTTACTATTACACCATACAATCTTTGTACATTGAGCCCATATGAGGGATTCGAACCCGGCTTTCGAGGTTTCGGGGTAGAATAGGTCTAGATCTTCAGCAAGCGACTATGCTTGTCGTAAGAGGTGACTAACGGGATCGGAGGGTCAGGCTCGCTGACTTGGTTGGTGCATGTCATTGTATCCCAATTGCGTGGAACGATGCTCATGATGTCAATCACTGGATTGTCTGGTCCAGACTCGATTATTTACAGACCGCCGTCACACAGCTGGAATGTTGCTGAGTACGGCGGTAAACAACAAACAAAACTTGCTGAAGACCTATTCACGGGTCCGAACCATTGAGTAACCTATAACGACCAGCATGGGTTGCTTAGGAACGTTTCTAACATAAGGTGACGTTAAAAAGAAAATACATCACTTCTACTCTCTTCTAAACATGTGGGAACGAGTTGCCCAGTCGTCTAAGGCGCCGCTGTTGACTTGCAGAGTTGCGTCCCTTGGGCACACCAGAGTACTGCGTTTCTAGGTTTGTCAGCACCATTCACGTTCTCGTGGGTTTCACCAAAGTGGTAAACGACTGAGACCTGCATGACTTCGGGCTTTCCTCCAACATAAAGCTGACACACGCCATGATATAACTGGAATACTGTTCAAAGCGGCGTTAAGCCCAACTCACTCGATGCTCTTTACGTTGTGCCCATTAATATATACATTTAGAAAATATATAAACATATAAAAAAAAACACCGACTACCTCCATCGTCTGTTTGAGAGTCTGTGCGGCATGGTTGTATTCTCGAATATGAAGTCAGCGTTCATGTATTTATGCCTATCGTTACAGTTCAAGTTCCTTGAATCAGGATTAGAAGTCCGGCACTGGATTATGTATGAGAATACCACCGCCGCCATGACCGAGAAAATATCAGAAGAGGCCAAGCAAACACGAGGTAGCTCTTCATTTAGAGGTGTTATCATTACTATCATCATAAAATTGTTTGTTTGTTTGTTTGTTATTTAACGCCGCACTCAGCAATATTCCAGCTTTATGACGGTGCTCTGTAAATAACCGAGTACGGTCACACAATCCAGTGATTGATATCATGAGCATTATTCTACGCAAATTGGATACGATGACATGCATCAACCACGTCAGCGAATCTGACCACCCGATCCCGTTAGTCGCCTCTTACGACAAGCATAGTCGTCATTTACGGCAAGAATGGGTTGCTGAAGACCTATTCTACCTCGGATCTTCACGGGTCCATCATAACTATCATCATAATCAGTCACAATATGTCTGAAGTCAATGTCTAGTTTTAACGCGCTGAACAATATTTAAGTTTTATCATATTTATATTATGTGACCATGCCGCGGATTATAACCGGGACGATTTTGGGATTCGAACACCCGGCCAGTGCATTCTAGCACGACACATTACCCTGAGAGCCATAGGCTGACATGCTTGGATAACACTGAAACAAATTGGCGTTAAACTTATGTCATCCACCCAATATCCCACCTATAAATAATGTAAGTGATATACCAGCTACTGTCCTCTACAGTCTTTATACTGTGTGCCTATGGCGACGAGGTCATCCGACTGATGGCGGCAGCAAACGACGCAGGCCTCATGACGGGAGAATACGTCTTCATTGCCATCGACTATGACAACATGGCGGAGACGGACGACAGCAACAAACATGTCAAGCAAGAAACACTGAATGGTGAGGTGGTTACGTTCTTTGAGAGAAGTATATTCTTCTTTGGGTCAATACTGTAAAGTTATACAAGGTTCTCCATTGTTTGAAAGCTACCATCTCCTCAGCGATGAGTGAGTGAGTATGGTTTTACGCCGCTTTTAGCAATATTCCAGCAATATCACGGCGGGGGACACCAGAAATGGGCTTCACACATTGTACCCATGTCGGGAATCGAACCCGGGTCTTCGGCGTGACGAGCGAACGCTTTAACCACTAGGCTACCCGACCGCCCCTCAGCGATGAAATGTCAAAACAAATATTGTACTTCAGAACTAGAAAATAAATTGTCCACTGAAACCGGTCATGGTTGAATGCCCCAAGAAATTTGAGAGTACGTTAAAGATGTAATTCTCAATTTATTTTAAAAAATCATTACTATTTGAAATGTTCATATTTTTTAGACGTAATAAAAAAAGAACTGAATGATTACTACTAACGAATACCGTAAACTTCCAACGATGCGATTAGTTTTAATTGTATAATTCCGTCTTGCTGTACATGTATTATTTGAACTGTATGTGTGTCCTCATGTACAACCGGTGATGTTTTCTTGAGTAAAAGAGAGAGTTTGAGAGTTATATAGCGAAACCTCGTTTTCTGGATTTAGCATTATCTTATTGGACGACTGATTAACGACATTGCTCAACGTCATCGGCATATCAACAAGGGAGAATTCAAATATTTGAATGCATTTGTATATTTCAATATGTGAAATGTTGTCTTTTGCTGAATTCTCGAATTTCGAATTCTGTACATTTTGACGGACATACTATAATGCACATTATAAACTGTCGGGCAAAAGAAAGTACACACTTGACCAAAATACAAACATTGTAAAAACATTACCTGGATGACAACAGTCGCCGAAACACTGCAAAATTACTGTTTGTTTGTTAGTTTGTTGTTTCACGCCGCACTGATATTCCAGCGATATGACGGCGGCTGTGATTGACATCATGAGCATCGATCCACGCAGTTGGGATACGATGACATGCATCATCAACCAAGTCAGCGAACCTGATCACCCGATCCCGTTAGTCGCCTTCTACGGCAAGCATGGGTTGCTGAAGACCTATTCTACCCCGGATCTTTACGGGTCAACTTAATGTCCAAAACACAACTATGATACCTGTGTCAAATACGTCACCATCGAATAATCATTTCGTGTTTGTTTCACTTTAGCCACCATAAACCAGGAGTGTATAGTTTATTTGTTTATATCACAAATATTATTCCATGTTACGAATGTAAATTGGTTTAACATACGTTGTGTTCCCGAGATAATGTTCTTGAAAGTGCTGCATCCATTTGGTATGGATTTCCTTCCATTGCGACCTACAAGATGTAGATATAAATACAGTCAGGCAGTATATTTCTGATGGTTCTTTGCAAAAACAGTGGGACCGACATTTCTTGTATTTATCCACCTTACATCGTCAAAGGAGTAATGGTTTTATCAATAAAACCGCCAGAAGCTTGTAATTGATTATCTGTCACGGTATAAATAATTTGTCCCGATCCTTTGGTTTTATCATGAGTGTCCAGGATCAAGTTTTAAGACGATACATGCAGTGAAATCCGCTAATCCAGACAGTACTATTCTAGATCCGGATTGACAAAGCAGTAATACAGGGTAATGCGTTTGTATATACTGAACAGAAAATGTCAGGAATCATGAATATTTTTCGGGATATTTTTGTGAAATTGTGTGTCTTCACTACAGAAAATATTCCCCAAAATATTAATGTTACCTATTGTTTGGTTCAGTGTATTTGATAGGCTTCCCAACAGAAATCGTCGAGTTTAAGGGATTCAGGGCAGATGTTCGACAAAAGACCAAAATTCATGCTATTTATATTTTGTCCAGGTTTACTAGATGTAACGATTGACGTTGAGCCGGAGAGTGAAGTGTTCAAGTCGTTCCTCCTTGAGATGGAGAGCAACACAGTCACGGGGACTGAAGGAGGCCATTATGAAGTGAGTAATATTATCCTCAAATATGATTTACTGGGTTCATCTCACCTTTAGATATGGAATATTGAAACAGTATGTCCAATACTTTAACAGAGGCTTACAATAGTCGTAGTACTGAGATCGCTTTGTGCAAATGGGCCCTGGTCATCTAAGGGCTCGCAATTCGCGTTGTCGCGTTTCTTACCCGCGCTCACTGGTTTCACGGTGTCCACTACCGTGATATTGCTGGAATATTGCTGAGTGCGGCGTTAAACAACAACAAATGAAACATTGGTTTCACGAACGTGGTAACGCCTACGAGCCTCTCATACGCCATGATGACTATTCCCTCACTGTCACAAGACCATTTATACCTCATTTTAACAAAATGTTTACCATTGAATACACTTTGTCTGTATAGCGTGGCATACACCTGGCTCTTCTGGCGGACGCTATATACATGTATGCTGTAGCTCTCAACAGAAGCCTAGCTGAAGGCGCGTCATTAGACGATGGCGTCTCAGTGGCAGATCACATGTACGGAGTCGCTATATCAGGTGAGCTATTACCTACACGACGTCCATGTACGAAATATTTAATACTCAGCGGCTGCTACGAATACTTATATATTCCATTTTACTTACATAGTACACTGCCGGGCATAAGAAAGTATACACTTGAAAATTGGTTTTAACCCAAAAATTACAAACGTTTTAAGGCTGAAAACAGTCGCCGAAACACTGCAATGTTAAGGTCCAAATCACAACTATGTCACCCGTATCAAAGAAATCACCATCGAGTAAGAAGGTCTTGTTTGTTTTCATTAAATATGAGTGCGTACTCTCTTTTTATATTATAGTTGAAAGTATTCAATTTTTGGAATGAAATCCACCTTAAATATCGTTCCATTCCACGAACAGAAATTTGGTTAACATTTGTTAATTTCACGAGATATCTTTCTTTAAAAGTGTGCACCATATTGTTTGGATTTCATTTCATTGCGGCCGAGATATACATATAAATGAAACCCCAAAGGTATTTGACTTCTTTGTTAGTTATTTACACAAGAAATCGACATAAATAAACGGAAATAAGAAAAACATAAAAATACTTTTCATGTTTGTTTTTGGTGCGGACAATGTTTAACAAATACGTGTCTTCCCGGTAATGTATACCCAGGCAATAAAACAGGGGATGTACAGCCTTCTTATGACCTGAACCAATGGCTTATGAAACAAAAATCGAAATCCGAATTGACATATCTATTTAGATGGCCTCGACCCTTACTGCAAATAAGTGTAGGAGTCACCCGCCAACCACCAACCAATTCTACCAACACTTAACCCATAGATATGGTGAACAATTATGGAATGTCATTGTTGATGAGAAAAGAACCTCCCACAAACGCCCCGAGAAATGTTTTGCAGGTTCCTGAAAGTCAATGTATTGGGGACGGGTTGTCGAGCGTACCTTTAGCTGACCTTGTGACCATTGATTTGAGGTCCGAATGCCAAATGAAAGTTCGACGGGGATATTTAGGGTAATGGTGGCTCATGTAGTCACCAATTATCAACACTTTACGTCTTGTCTGAAAAAACCCGATTTGTCTGTCGAGGGAAAAGATTACTTTATATTCTGAATTTCACATTTCATCGAGAAACGGTTGTGGTTACAGCTGGTGAAAGCAGCGGCCAACCTACACGAAAAACCGTTATTAAAAAAACGCTTTTGAGCAGATTATCTCTATCTTACGGAAGCGTAGCGGCGCCACGGTGATTTTTTTTGTCTAAGTATCTCCTACGTAGGACGTATTATCTCCTACGTAGGACTTAGTATCTCCTACGTAGGACTAACTATCTCCTACGTAGGACTTATTATCTCCTACGTAGGACGTATTATCTCCTACGTAGGACTTATTATCTCCTGCGTAGGACTTACTATCTCTTACGTAGGACTTATTATCTCCTACGTAGGACTTATTATCTCCTGCGTAGGACTTACTATCTCTTACGTAGGACTTATTATCTCCTACGTAGGACTTATTATCTCCTGCGTAGGACTTACTATCTCTTACGTAGGACTTATTATCTCCTACGTAGGACTTATTATCTCCTGCGTAGGACTTACTATCTCTTACGTAGGACTTATTATCTCCTACGTGGGACTTACTATCTCCTACGTAGTACTTAATCAATGAGGCTTCAATGGGAAACACTATATATCAGTACTAAGTCCTACGTAGGAGATACTAAGTCCTACGTAGAAGATATAAAGTCCTACGTAGGAGATACTAAGTCCTACGTAGGAGATAGTGATTCTAGGCAACTAAGTCCTACGTAAGAGATACTAAGTCCTGCGTAAGAGATAGTAAGTCCTACTTAGGAGATACCAAGTCCTCCGTAGAAGATACTAAGTCCTACGTTGGAGATAATTAGACAACAAAAAATTCACCGTGGTCCCACTACGCTTCCGTACTATCTAGATGTCTAACAATACGATCTGGACGATAACTTAGGTTATGTAAACTTGCTACAGATCGACCAGAATACTTTACTACTCTAGCCAGGCTTGCTCTCTTAGTTTCAATCCTAACAGAATCAAAAGAATGTGCTTGTGGAACAGTTGCGAATCATGTCGTAAACATGTTTTTTTGTCATGTCAAAAGATTATCGTAGAAAGAAATATCATGTTTGTAAAATCTTTGATTACTAGATGTTAATGTGTTTCTCAGAAGCTGGGCAGACGATGATACTTCTCAGTCATTTCTGCTAGGTGGAATACCTGAACAATTTGAAGATGCGTTAGATTACAATGTATGGCAATAAAGCATGACAAGCACTGGTGATGCAGTAAAACGTGAGATAAAGTCATCCGAAGTTGCTTATACTAAATGTACATATCGTCAGCCCGCCTACACTTGTAAATTGCCAAATGCAAACTGGGCATCTATGTAAACCCTAAGGAATATGATACATATGTATTATGAACTTATTCTCACACGAAATGTCTCTCTTGCATCCCAAGTACTAAGGTGTCCGACTCCCAATTTTTTTTTCCCCGATGAATTGTCGGTCACTTTTGACACTAATGCGATTGACAAGATTTCGAAAAACATGGCAAATATGCGGACCTCGCTGACGAAATGACACGCTTGCATCCCAAGTACATGTACCATGTTGTCCGACTCCCCATTGTTCTTAGTGCCTTAGGTTTGGTACCTCCCAATCTGTTGACTGACATTGGGCGAGTACCCGGGCTTGCTGCCATGAATACAGCCCTTCTGACAATCTGGGTAATGCAGAAGGCTTCAGTTTTTGGGGGTCTTCACATTCTCAGAAAAGTTCTGGTTTACCTAGCCATTCGCTGTCAGGGCTGCGTTAAGAGGGGACAAGGATCCCGAGATGACGATGAGCCTAACCAGCCTGACTGTGCTAGGATCACCCAAACCCTCTTTGCTGCATTTTCTGTTTTAATCTACATAATAATAACCTTGCACGTCGATTTCACAAAAGTCGTTGAATATTTTTTATTTCACGTTTCTCTTCTCTCACATAAAGTTGAAACGCCATGATTTAACTGGAATATTATGTTTCATATTTTAATGTACCAGCCATTTTAAGCATGTTCCGAATGTTACATTTATCATCCCAGGTGTAAGCGGAACTGTACAGATATTATCGGACGGCAGTCGGCTTGCAGGCTACATGCTCCACAATCTGATGAATAGCCGGTACACACCAACAGCCAGAAGTCGTCTTGGGTGAGTATATGCTCCACAATCTAGTCATTGCCCGATACACACCAACAGCCAGAAGTCGTCTTGGGTGAGTATATGCTCCACAATCTAGTCATTGCCCGATACACACCAACAGCCAGAAGTCATCTTGGTTGAGTTATGCTTCATAATCTAGACAATGGCCAGTACACACCAACAGCCAGAAGTCGTCTTGGGTGAGTGTATGCTCCACAATCTGGGCAATGGCCGGTACACACCAACAGCCAGAAGTCATCTTGGTTGAGTTATGCTTCATAATCTAGACAATGGCCAGTACACACCAACAGCCAGAAGTCGTCTTGGGTGAGTGTATGCTCCACAATCTGGGCAATGGCCGGTACACACCAACAGCCAGAAGTCGTCTTGGGTGAGTGTATGCTCCACAATCTAGTCAATGGCCGGTACACACCAACAGCCAGAAGCCATCTTGGGTGAGTGTATGCTCCACAATCTAGTCAATGGCCGGTACACACCAACAGCCAGAAGTCGTCTTGGGTGAGTGTATGCTCCACAATCTAGTCAATGGCCGGTACACACCAACAGCCAGAAGTCGTCTTGGGTGAGTGTATGCTCCACAATCTAGTCAATGGCGGGTACACACCAACAGCCAGAAGTCATCTTGGGTGAGTTTATGCTCCACAATCTAGTCAATGGCCGGTACACACCAACAGCCAGAAGTCATCTTGGGTGAGTGTATGCTCCACAATCTAGTCAATGGCCGGTACACACCAACAGCCAGAAGTCATCTTGGGTGAATGTATGCTCATCAATCTAGTCAATGGCCGGTACACACCAACAGCCAGAAGTCATCTTGGGTGAGTGTATGCTCCACAATCTAGTCAATGGCCGGTACACACCAACAGCCAGAAGTCATCTTGGGTGAGTGTATGCTCCACAATCTAGTCAATGGCCGGTACACACCAACAGCCAGAAGTCATCTTGGGTGTATGTATGCTCATCAATCTAGTCAATGGCCGGTACACACCAACAGCCAGAAGTCATCTTGGGTGAGTGTATGCTCCACAATCTAGTCAATGGCCGGTACACACCAACAGCCAGAAGTCATCTTGGGTGAATGTATGCTCATCAATCTAGTCAATGGCCGGTACACACCAACAGCCAGAAGTCATCTTGGGTGAGTGTATGCTCCACAATCTAGTCAATGGCCGGTACACACCAACAGCCAGAAGTCGTCTTGGGTGAGTGTATGCTCCACAATCTAGTCAATGGCGGGTACACACCAACAGCCAGAAGTCATCTTGGGTGAGTTTATGCTCCACAATCTAGTCAATGGCCGGTACACACCAACAGCCAGAAGTCATCTTGGGTGAGTGTATGCTCCACAATCTAGTCAATGGCCGGTACACACCAACAGCCAGAAGTCATCTTGGGTGAATGTATGCTCATCAATCTAGTCAATGGCCGGTACACACCAACAGCCAGAAGTCATCTTGGGTGAGTGTATGCTCCACAATCTAGTCAATGGCCGGTACACACCAACAGCCAGAAGTCATCTTGGGTGAGTGTATGCTCCACAATCTAGTCAATGGCCGGTACACACCAACAGCCAGAAGTCATCTTGGGTGAATGTATGCTCATCAATCTAGTCAATGGCCGGTACACACCAACAGCCAGAAGTCATCTTGGGTGAGTGTATGCTCCACAATCTAGTCAATGGCCGGTACACACCAACAGCCAGAAGTCATCTTGGGTGAGTGTATGCTCCACAATCTAGTCAATGTCAGGTACACACCAACAGCCAGAAGTCGTCTTGGGTGAGTGTATGCTCAACAATCTGGTGAATAGCCGGTACACACCAACAGCCAGAAGCAATATTGGGTGAGTGTATGCTCCACAATCTAGTCAATGGCCAGTACACACCGACAGCCAGAAGCCATCTTAGGTGAGTGTATGCTCCACAATCTAGTCAATGGCCGGTACACACCAACAGCCAGAAGCCATCTTAGGTGAGTGTATGCTCCACAATCTAGTCAATGGCCAGTACAGAGCAACAGCCAGAAGTCATCTTAGGTGAGTGTATGCTCAAAAATCTAGTCAATGGCCAGTACACAGCAACAGCCAGAAGTCATCTTGGTTGAGTTATGCTTCACAATGTAGTCAATGGCCAGTACACACCAACAGCCGGAAGCCATCTTAGGTGAGTGTATGCTCCACAATCTAGTCAATGGCCGGTACACACCAACGGCCAGAAGCCATCTTGGGTGAGTTATGCTTTACAATCTAGTCAATGGCCAGTACACACCAACAGCCAGAAGTCATCTTGGGTGAGTTATGCTTCACAATCTAGTCAATGGCCAGTACACACCAACAGCCAAAAAACATCACTATCTAGTCAATTACAGGTACACACTAACAACCAGAAGCCAAGTTTTGGTTTGATTAAGGCGAGCCAAATGACCTGGAACGGACCAGGTGTTGTTAGTTTTATTTAATATGCGTGTAGCCTTACACCTCTAACAGTGACCTCTATGTGTTCCACAGGGGCCGCGGGTTCACGGTCATTAACAGCACAGTGGTGTGGCCCGGGGGGTCGACGACAACACCCACAGGACAACCAGCATGTGGCTGGGCAAATGAACACTGCCCCGACAACAGTAAGTATAACACCTCCAGCGTGTACGCATATTGAAATATGTCAGGGCGACGTATACCCGAGTATTACCATGTAATGTCAATGACAACGTTACTTCTATACATGAGATATTCCTTGGATAACACAGCATGCATATGGACCACTGCCTTGATAAATTTGTTGTCCACCGGTCTCTCGGGAGATATGGGTTGATGTACCCTGTTTGTTAGTTTATGTTTCCCTCCACCTTCTGGCTCGGACTCGAGGACTCGAGGAACACAAACTACAGTATAGTACGGTTATAACGAACTCATAGGGACTACTAATTTTAGTTCGTGATAAGCATATATACAGATTAACTAGAGCAAATAGTCGGGACCAAAAAGTAAGTTCGTTATATCCGTCAGTTCGTTATAAGCGTGTTCGTTATAACCGTAGTTTACTGTAATACAAAGGGTACAAAAACCCATGTTCCTCCCGATACCATTGGACGACTTATAATGCACATGTGATACAACCTGACATAGAACCAATTCTAAGGTCTGTCAGAAGACGCCAAAATGGCCACATAAATTATACTCAGCTGAAATGTGAGTAATACAGGATTCCAATATAGTCAAGATGGTTCTTGTTAAGTCATAAATGCCATACTTCCAAGTGGACCGCCTCCGTGATCTAGTGGTAGGGCGTCCAGCCGGAGAGTGTAAGGTCGGGGGTTCGATTCCCGGCCGCGTCATACCAAAAGACGTTAATAGATGGTACTTGTTGTTGCCATGCCTGGCGCTCGGCATTAAGGGGCCAAAACAAGGACTGGTCGGCTCGGAGTCAGTAAACTGTGTCTGAGTGGGGTATTCATGTTAAACTGCGGCATGGTATCACAGTGGGATACCACTATGAAATCGGCATAAGTCCTGACAAGACACTCAGCCACACACACGTGCATACTCGTTGCTGTATAAGTGCAATTATCTTGAACGCGACGTTCAGTCCCATTTCACCTCTCCACCTCGCCACGTTCAAACTCGAAAATTAACAGGTCTCTGTCATATAGCTGGAATTCTGCTGAGTAAGGCGTAAAACAACAAATAAATACATTTAAAAAACTGAGATTTCTACAAAACTTCTACTTGTCAGTTTTCTCTTGCTTAAACATCTTATCTTAACATACACATGAATATCGGACTCTGATTGGTTGGGACCCATTCTATTATATTTGATGTACCCTGCAAGCACGTAAGGTACGTTTCTGATGTTCCTCGCTTAATGACCGGGCTCTTGGCATTACATTGCAACATTTTTACTTGCCTTTGCATGTGTTTGTGACGGGTGCACCGTAGGGGCAGGATACGCTCACCTTTTTGCGAACACCTGATATCATCACTATTTGATATGGATTCATAAACACTCGCTAAACGATATAGTCGAACTCTTCTTTGTGCAGAGATTTCTTAAGAATATGGAAAGAGTTTTGTCGCTTTTAGTGATTATTTCAAAATGTAACTTTTGAAAGCTTCTCCAAAATAGTGCCAAACTGCACCAAGCCTTTAACAGTTAAAATATGATCTCTTGAAAACGGTAATGTGGTTTGGCACATGTTGATGTTTGTTGAACTTTGTCGACAGCCATTGCGATCATTCTGGGCAGTGTCGGCGGGATCTGCGGCGCTCTCGTTATCATCATTGTTGCCGGCATCATCATCAGCAAGTAAGGTTCTTCCGTTACAGGGACGGTGGGTAGCCTTGTGGTTAAAGCGTTTGCTCAATCCGAACTCCCGGGTTCGATTCTATATATGGGTATGTTGAACGAAGCCCGTTCTTGCTGTGCCCAACCGTGATTTTGCACTAAAATAGCTAAACAATTTCACTCGATCTCTGCTAAGTGAATGGGAAGGGTCCCCTTTGTTTAGTAAGTGAGTGAGTGGGTTAGGTTTTAGGTAGCTTTGAAAAGGAGGACCACATGGTAATGTGACTGTAATTTGTGTGACACTCATCCAAAGACTGTGGTGGTGATGATGGAGGGTCATGAGCAATGATAAATTACATATTATTATTAGTCTATGTTATTATTAGTTTTATTTTTGTACTACTTTTAGTAGTAGTAGTAGTAGTAGTGGTAGTAGAAGGAGGAGGAGGGGGAAGAGTGGTATTAGAAGTAGTTGTAGCAGGAGGAGGAGGAGGAGGAAGAAGCGTGGTGGTAGTAGTAGTTGTAGGAGGAGGAGGGAGAGTGGTAGTAGTAGTAGTAGTAGTAGTAGTAGTAGTAGAAGCAGCAGCAGTAGTAGTTGTAGTAGTAGTTGGAGGAGGAGGTGGGGAGAAGGAAGAGGAATAGTGGTAGTAGTAGTTGTAGTAGTAGAAGCAGCAGCAGTAGTAGTTGTAGTAGTAGTAGGAGGAGGAGGTGGGAAGAAGGAGGAGGAATAGTGGTAGTAGTAGTAGTAGGGGGAGGGGGAGGGGGAATAGTGGTAGTAGTAGTAGTAGTAGTAATAGTAGTAGTGGTAGAAGGAGCAGCAGTAGTAGTTGTTGTAGGAGGAGGAGGAAGAGTGGTAGTAGTAGTAGTAGTAGTAGTAGAAGCAGCAGCAGTAGTAGTTGTAGTAGTAGTAGGAGGAGGAGGTGGGGAGGAGGAGGAATAGTGGTAGTAGTATTAGTTGTAGTAGTAGTAGTAGGGGGAGGGGGAATAGTGGTAGTAGTAGTAGTAGTTGTAATAGTAGTAGTAGTAGAAGCAGCAGCAGTAGTAGTTGTTGTAGTAGTAGTAGGAGGAGTAGGTGGGGAGGAGGAGGAGGAATAGTGGTAGCAGTAGTAGTTGTAGGAGGAAGAGTGGTAGTAGTAGTAGTAGTAGTAGTAGTAGTAGTAGTAGTTGTAGGAGGAGGAAGAAGAGTGGTAGTAGTAGTTGTAGGAGGAGGAGGAATAGTGGTAGTAGTAGTAGTAGTTGTAGGAGGAATATTGGTAGTAGTAGTAGTAGTAGTAGTAGTAGTAGTTGTAGGAGGAGGAGGGGAGGAATAGTGGTAGTAGTAGTAGTAGTTGTTGTAAGAGGAGGAGGAATAGTGGTAGTTGTAGTAGTTGTAGGAGGAAAAGTGGTAGTAGTAGTAGTTGTAGGAGGAGGAGGAGGAATAGTGGCAGTAGTAGTAGTAGTAGTAGTAGTAGCAGTAGTAGTAGTAGTAGAAGCAGCAGCAGTAGTAGTAGTTGTATGGAGGAGGAGGAATAGTGGTAGTAGTAGTAGTAGTAGTAGAAGAAGCAGCAGCAGTAGTAGTAGCTGTAGGAGGAGGAGGAAGAGTGGTAGTAGTAACTCTGGCTAGCTTGCTTGTTCTTTATATTCATGTATTAGTTAAGCCAGTGTCCGCTTTCTACAGACGCCGGATTGCACAGGCTGACCTGCAGAGACTTGACTGGAGGATCCCGTCCGATCAGCTGTCTGTTAGACAGGGCGCAAAGTCCTTCCACGGCAGCAGCATGAGTAAGGTGTGTTGCCGGAGCAAATATTGATGTTAGATCTAACAATTCTCATGTTAATATTAGGTACTGACTTATATTCTGGGGGTGAATGCGCGGGTACGTGGGATTTTTGTTAAGAGACAGAACATAAACATTTCCATATATCATCTTTGTCACTTTATCATGTCTTAAGAATATAGCATGCATAATGATATCACCTGTGTGTTAGGACCGCCTCCGTGGCCTAGTGGTAGAGCGTCTGCCCGGAAAGCGGATGGTCGAAGGTTCGATCCACGGCGGCGCCATACCAAAAGACGTTAAAAGACCATGGTACTTGTTGTTACCCTGCCTGGCGCTCGGCATTTCGGGGCTAAAACGAGAACACGTTGGCACGAAGTCAGTATACTGTGCCAATCAAATAATGCATAATATGTCATGGGTTCGGGTATCAGTTCTGAAACGACATCATATCCCAAGGGGTTAGCACGAAACAACCGCCATTAGTCCAAACTGTCCTAACAATAACACAAACACGTGTATGCGCGTCGATATGTAAGTGCAATAATCTTGAACGCGACCCGTGAAGATATCCGGGGTAGAATAGGTCTTCAGCAACCCATGCTTGCCGTAAAAGGCGACTATGCTTGTTGTAAGAGGCGACTAACGGGATCTGGTGGTCAGGCTCACTGACTTGGTTGATGCATGTCATCGTATCCCAATTGCATGGATCGATGTGCTTGACGTTAATCACTGGATTGTCTGGTCCAGATTCGAATATTTACAGACCGCCATCATTCAGCTGGAATATTGCCGAGGGTGGCATTAAACAACAAATAAACAAACAAACAAACAATCTTGAGCGCGACGTTAAACCTCATTTTAGCTCACCTTACCTCCTTGTCTTTATGAAAGTCTTTGACGGGCTGTTCGTATTTTCAGGCCACTTTCGCACTACACGGATCCAAGTTGTCAGTTCCCTCGGTCGACAGTGGTATGACCGTTGACTCCAAGGCAGGCCAGGTGTTCTCAAGGACAGCACTGTATGATGGTCAGATAGTGGCCTTGAAGGTCATCCAGAAGTCTTACGTGGCCCTGACCAAGGATGTGATTCAGGAAATTAACAGAGTACGTAGTTACACAGTTCACTCTCGCCATGTGCTTGATGGAGGAAGGAAGGGTCGGCTTATACGCTATAGCTATATCACGACAGTGTATACAATAATTGATCCTTCACCCAGGAGACTATTACAGGTTGGATAGTTAAACAATATGTCTCTTGATACATACCGAGCTAGCATCATTTACCCCGACTTACATCAGTAACACGGCGGGGAACACTAAGAATTGCAATTCTCTCGATACATACAGAACTGATATCATTTACCCAGACTAACATCAGTAACACGGTGGGGGACACTGAGAATTGCAATTCTCTCGATACATACAGAACTGGTATCATTTAACCAGACTAACATCAGTAACACGACGGGGAACATTAAGAACTGCAATTCTCTCGATACATACAGAACTAGTATCATTTAACCAGACTAACATCAGTAACACGACGGGGACCATTAAGAACTGCAATTCTCTCGATACATACAGAACTGGTATCATTTAACCAGACTAACATCAGTAACACGTTGGGAGACACTGAGAAATGCAATTCTCTCGATACATACAGAACTGGTATCATTTAACCAGACTAACATCAGTAACACGTTGGGGGACACTGAGAAATGCAATTCTCTCGATACATACAGAACTGGTATCATTTAACCAGACTAACATCAGTAACACGGTGGGGAACACTAAGAATTGCAATTCGCTCGATACATGCAGAACTAGTATCAATTACTCTGTCAAACATCAGTAACACGACGGGCAACATTAAGAATTGCAATTCTCTCGATACATACAGAACTGGTATCATATACCTAGACTAACATCAGTAACACGATGGGGAACACTAAGAATTGCAATTCGCTCTTTACATACAGAACTGGTATCATATACCCAGACTAACATCAGTAACACGACGTTGGACACTAAGAATTGCAATTCTCTCGATACATACAGAACTAATATCAATTACTCCGTCAAACATCAGTAACACGATGGGCAACACTAAGAATTTGAATTCGCTCGATACATACAGAACTAGTATCAATTACTCCGTCAAACATCAGTAACACGATGGGGAACATTTCGAATTGCAATTCTCTCGATACATACAGAACTGATAACATATACCCAAACTAACATCAGTAACACGACGGGGAACACTAAGAATGCAATTGGCTACGCAATTTTACTCGTTTTAGGAATCGAGCCCGGAACTACACAAGGTGCTTCTTTACTCTCTAGACTACCCCCACTGCCCCCACATAAATAGAGATATTACACGAGCATGTGTGTCATGATTTCACGAAACGAGTGTCAGAACTCTTGTATTTCCCTGGTGAGTTTCGTAATGTCGGTAGGACACGCAAGCGATAGAAATAATTAACACGTCCCATTTTAATTCTGGAAACCCAAAAGTCCAGAAACTCTACGGTCTTTGCCGACTCTCGGTCAAAGGTATTTACAAAATTTAACATGCTGTTTTCATGGGAACATACCAAGGAAGAAAAAATGAAAAATATATGTTAAAAAACTCAATATTTACACTATGTCGCCCATGGGCCTGCCCATGGGCGAAGTGTGGCCCATAGGCCTGCCCATGGGCGAAGACTTGCCCATGGGTAGGCCCATGGGCGAGAATATGTTCCTTTACTTAAAACTCATGTTTTTTTTCTCGCAAATACATTAAATGAATTTATTCAAGTATCATGACACAAAATTTAACTCATTTTAACTTAATTCAACTATTTTATAGTGATATTGAAATATTTCGCCCATGGGCGAGAAAAAGGTTGGCCCATGGGCAGGCCCATGGGCGAGAATATGTTCCTTTACTCAAAACTCATGTTTTTGTTTCGCAAATACATTAAATGTATTTATTCAAGTATCATGACACCAAATTAAACTCATTTTAACTTCGGGTTTTCCTCCGGCGTGAAGCTGACACGCCGTGATATAACTGTAATACTGTTAAAAGCGTCGTTAAATCCAAATCACTCACTCACTGATTTGTTTGCTGGATTACAGATACGAAACTTGAAGCATCCAAATATAAACCATCTGGTAGGAATTTGTGTGGAGCCCATGAAACTCTGCCTAGTGTGGGCCTACTGTCCAAAGGGAAGTCTCGCTGACGTCCTGCACAACGAACGGATCAAACTCGACTGGATATTCAAGTTCTCGTTTGCCACCGATATTGTCAAGGTATGGTCACTACTGGTCGTCAAATTCTCGTTTGCCAACAATATTGTCAAGGTATGGTCACTATTGGTAGTCACGTTCTCATTTGCCTCCGATATAGTCAATGTACGGTCACTAATGGTAGTCAAGTTCTCGTTTGCCACCGATATTGTCAAGGTATGGTCACTACTGGTCGTCAAATTCTCGTTTGCCAACAATATTGTCAAGGTACGGTCACTATTGGTAGTCACGTTCTCGTTTGCCACCGATATAGTCAGGGTAAAGTCACTACTGGTAGTCAAGTTCTCGTTTGCCACCGATATTGTCAAGGTAAGGTCACTACTGGTCGTCAAATTCTCGTTTTCCTGCGATATTGTCAAGGTAAGGTCACTACTGGTAGTCAAGTCCTCGTTTGCCTCCGATATTGTCAAGGTACGGTCACTACTGGTAGTCAAGTCCTCGTTTGCCACCGATATTGTCAAGGTAAGGTCACTACTGGTAGTCAAGTTCTCGTTTGCCACCGATATAGTCAAGGTATGGTCACTACTTGTCGTCAAATTCTCGTTTTCCTGCGATATTGTCATGGTACGGTCACTACTTGTCGTCAAATTCTCGTTTTCCTGCGATATAGTCAAGGTATGGTCACTACTTGTCGTCAAATTCTCGTTTTCCTGCGATATTGTCAAGGTAAGGTCACTACTGGTAGTCAAGTTCTCGTTTGCCTCCGATATTGTCAAGGTAAGGTCACTATTGGTAGTCACGTTCTCGTTTGCCTCCGATATTGTCATGGTACGGTCACTATTGGTAGTCACGTTCTCGTTTGCCTCCGATATTGTCATGGTACGGTCACTACTGGTAGTCAAGTCCTCGTTTGCCGCCGATATAGTCAAGGTATGGTCACTATTGGTTGTCAAGTTCTCGTTTGCCACCGATATAGTCAAGGTATGGTCACTACTGGTAGTCAAGTTCTCGTTTGCCTCCGATATAGTCAAGTTAAGCATTACCCCTGTTTCGGATATTTGTCCAATGAGATACAGACTCGATATGCAGCTGGTTTGTTTAGGGCATGATCTATCTCCATCACTCTCCGGTGGAATGTCATGGCAGCCTCAAGTCCAGCAACATCCTCGTGGACGGACACTGGTCATGTCGGATAGCGGACATGGCCATGCCCTGCTTCCGGGAAGGAGAACGTCCCAACAGCGACGGGGAACACGCACAATTCTACCGTGAGTTGACACCGAGGACTTTTTAATACAGTAAATGTTGTAAAGCCTTGAATCATTTCCTTCTTCACTGACTAAATTGACCATGTATATTTTCCGTTTCTGTTTTTTATCGATATAAATTGATAGTCCCCCCTAATTCCTAAAAAAATAATTATCTTTCAGACTGTAAAGAAAAAGAAGTCACCTGACACAAAAATTATATTATTGCAAGACGTTTTTCTCATAAAATAATTCAGGTGCATAGTTCTTGTTTTGTGGATGTAGCTGAATTAATATCTAATTTCGATACGAAAGTGTATATTAACCATGGTAAGCCTTTTTTTTCAGAGAAATTGTGGACATCCCCAGAAATACTTAGGGATCCTGAAGAATTCCCGAGGGGCAGCAAAAAGGGTGATACGTTCTCTTTTGGGATCGTGCTCCAAGAACTTATCCTTAGAACTGGACCGTATGGCGATTCTGATTTGAACCCAAAAGGTAATGTCACTCAACAGCATATATGTCCCACCGGCTTGTTCAATATTAGGCACTATAATCCGAACACAAACCATGTGTCGTACAGTCACTGTGATTTAAGACGATATTCAGCAACACAGGTCATGTGTCGTACAGTCAGTGTGGTATAAGACGATATTTAGCAACACAGGTCATGTGTCGTACAGTCACTGTGGTATAAGACGATATTCGGCAACACAGGTCATGTGTCATGCAGTCACTTGAGTGTAAATCGATATTCGGCAAGACTGTCATGTATATTTCTTGGTGCGACGTGTGTGTGCGACGTGAGTGTTGGACGAGAGTGTGCGACGTGAATGTGCGAAGTGAATGTTGGACGTGAGTGTGCGACGTAAGTGTGCGAAGTGAATGTTGGACGTGATTGTGCGACGTAAGGGTGCGAAGTGAATGTTGGACGTGATTGTGCGACGTAAGGTTGCGAAGTGAATGTTGGACGTGATTGTGCGACGTAAGTGTGCGAAGGGAATGTTGGACGAGAGTGTGCGACGTGAATGTGCGAAGTGAATGTTAGACGTGAGTGTGCGACGTAAGTGTGCGAAGTGAATGTTAGACGTGAGTGTGCGACGTAAGGGTGCGAAGTGAATGTTGGACGTGATTGTGCGACGTAAGGGTGCGAAGGGAATGTTGGACGTGAGTGTGCGACGTAAGGGTGCGAAGGGAATGTTGGACGTGAGTGTGCGACGTAAGTGTGCGAAATGAATGTTGGACGTGAGTGTGCGACGTAAGGGTGCGAAGTGAATGTTTGACGTGAGTGTGCGACGTAAGGGTGCGAAGTGAATGTTGGACGTGAGTGTGCGACGTAAGTGTGCGACGTGAGTGAGCGACGTGAGTGTGCGACGTGAGTGTGCGACGTGAGTGTAAGACGTAAGTGTAAGACGTAAGTGTGCGACGTGAGTGAGCGACGTGAATGTGCGACGTGAGTGTGCGACGTAAGTGTTAGACGTAAGTGTGCGACGTGAGTGTGCGACGTAAGTGTAAGACGTAAGTGTAAGACGTGAGTGTGCGACGTAAGTGTGCGACGTGAGTGTAAGACGTAAGTATAAGACGTAAGTGTGCGACGTAAGTGAGCGACTTACGTGTAAGACGTGAGTGTGCGACGTAAGTGTAAGACGTGGATTTGCGACGTAAGTGAGCGACGTAAGTGTAAGACGTAAGTGTAAGACGTAAATGTAAGACGTGAGTGAGCGACGTAAGTGTGCGACGTAAGTGTGCGACGTGAGTGTGCGACGTAAGTGTGCGACGTGAGTGAGCGACGTGAGTGTGCGACGTGAGTGTGCGACGTAAGTGTGCGACGTGAGTGTGCGACGTGAGTGAGCGACGTGAGTGTGCGACGTGAGTGTAAGACGTAAGTGTGCGACGTAAGTGTGCGACGTGAGTGAGCGACGTGAATGTGCGACGTGAGTGTGCGACGTAAGTGTAAGACGTAAGTGTGCGACGTGAGTGTGCGACGTAAGTGTGCGACGTGAGTGAGCGACGTGAGTGAGCGACGTGATAGTGCGACGTAAGTGTGCGACGTGAATGTAAGACGTAAGTGAGCGACGTGAGTGTGCGACGTAAGTGTGCGACGTAAGTGTAAGACGTGAGTGAGCGACGTGAGTGTGCGACGTAAGTGTGCGACGTAAGTGTGCGACGTGAGTGAGCGACGTGAGTGTGCTACGTGAATGTGCGACGAACGGTGCGACGTAAGTGTGTGACGTCAACGCGAGATGATGTAATTGTGCGATGTGAGATGTGTACTACGTGAGGCGAGTGTGCAACGTCAGTGAGCGCCGTGAATGTACGACGTGAGATGATTGTGCGACGTCGGCGAGCGACGTCAGGTTTGAAACTCCGCTGCAGTCACGCATGACCCTCTTGTTTCCAGATATAGTGTCTCGGGTGAAGACAACGGAACATCCCCCCTACAGACCAGTGCTGGAGGGTGAGGATGCTCCTGATGCCATGCTGGATCTCATGAGGATATGTTGGGAGGAGATTCCTGCATTTAGACCCAACTTCTCCACGATAGAATACAGTCTGAAGAAACTCAATAAAGGAAAGTAAGTGTCTCGACTTTGCTCTTATATATACACACCTGGACAAGGATTAAACTCTACCATGTCTTTATTCTTATATATCCCGAACTTTCAAACATCATTTTGTGACATATACGTTATAGAAGTGAAACCATCCCCATTGTGGTACTGATCTAATTTTGATAAATGTTTTATGATGCCGACTGAAAAGTACAAGCATACTCTATGTTTCTACAGATGGTCACAGCTATAAGATACAAATAATCAGAAGAAGCAATTGTATATGAAAATATGTAGTGAGTGGTACTGGATGTTTCCCGATGTATATATAGTTCATAGCAAGACCCTCGCGCAATACTGAATGGTGGTGTATGCCACTGCCTTCTAAAAGGACCATCATCTTGCACAATGCATCACACAGAGCCGTTGACTGTACAAGTCAAAGTGTCTCATTTTGTTGCTGGGTGGTCTGTGTTCTGGTGGTGACAAGGTGTCTGACTTTGTTTCAGGGTGGTCAGTTTGGTGGTGACAATGTGTCTGACATTTGCATTGTGTTCTACGGTGGTGGCAAGGTGTCTGATAGTTGCAGGGTGTTCTGTGGTGGTGACAAGGTGTCTGACAGTTGAAGGGTGTTCTGTGGTGGTGACAAGGTGTCTGACAGTTGAAGGGTGTTCTGTGGTGGGGGCAATGTGTCTGATAGTTGAAGGGTGTTCTGTGGTGGTGACAATGTGTCTGATTGTTGCAGTGTGTTCTGTGGTGGTGGCAAGGTATCTTATTGTTGCAGGGTGTTCTGTGGTGGTGGCAAGGTGTCTGATAGTTGCAAGGTGTTCTGTGGTGGTGACAATGTGTCTGATTGTTGCAGGGTGTTCTGTGGTGGTGGCAAGGTGTCTGATAGTTGCAGGGTGTTCTGTGGTGGTGGCAAGGTGTCTGACAGTTGCAGGGTGTTCTGTGGTGGTGGCAAGGTGTCCGATAGTTGCAGGGTGTTCTGTGGTGGTGACAATGTGTCTGACAGTTGAAGGGTGTTCTGTGGTGGTGACAATGTGTCTGATAGTTGCAGGGTGTTCTGTGGTGGTGACAAGGTGTCTGACAGTTGAAGGGTGTTCTGTGGTTGTGACAATGTGTCTGATAGTTGCAGGGTGTTCTGTGGTGGTGACAAGGTGTCTGACAGTTGAAGGGTGTTCTGTGGCGGTGGCAAGGTGTCTGACAGTTGCAGGGTGTTCTGTGGTGGTGACAAGGTGTCTGCCAGTTGCAGGGTGTTCTGTGGTGGTGACAATGTGTCTGACAGTTGAAGGGTGTTCTGTGGTTGTGACAAGGTGTCTGACAGTTGAAGGGTGTTCTGTGGTGGTGGCAAGGTGTCTGACATTTGCATTGTGTTCTTTGGTGGTGGCAAGGTGTCTGATAGTTGCAGGGTGGTCAGTCTGGTGGTGACAAGCTGTCTGACAGTTGAAGGGTTTTCTGTGGTGGTGACAAGGTGTCTACTTTCCTTTCAGGGTGGTCAGTCTGGTAGACCAGATGGTGCATATGTTGTCCAACTACGCGGACCATCTGGAAGAACTAGTGGATGAAAGGACCATTCAGCTGGAGGAAGAGAAGAAAAAGACTGAGGAGTTGTTGTGTAGAATGTTACCCAGGTGAGCCAGGGCGTATTGTAGAATGTTACCCAGGTGAGCCATGGCGTTGTGTAGAATGTTACCCAGGTGAGTCACGGCGTTGTGTGGAATGTTACTCAGGTGAGCCACGGCGATGTGTAGAATGTTACCAAGGTGAGATATGGAGTTGGGTAAAAGTAAAGCTCGTGTGACACGAGACTGTATATATTTAAGCCCAACTGCCTACTGTTTATGTCTAAACGTTTGTAAATCCGACTAAATATTTCGATGTTCTCTTTGGTAGACTTTAAATACAATTTAATTTACATGCAGCGTCTGTAGATTCTCCTCTGGACATTCACGCATTATTTGATATCTATCATGAAAACGGTGGGAGGCACAGTGGTGTCACAGTCGTCTGAGGCACCGCGAAGTTACGCCCCTTTGACACGCCAAAAATCTGATATTGAGTTCGAATCCCGGTCCGCCCAGATTAAAATTCTAGGCACTATACTCGTGGTCGTGGGTTTCACCAAAGTGGTATACGTCTGAGACCTGCATCACTTTGTGCTTTCCTATCACATGACACCCCGTGATATAACTGGACTACTGTTAAAAGCAGCGTTAAATCAAACTAATTCATTCGGGCATTAAACGATGACTCTTATTTTCCACACATAGGACTGTCGCTGAAAACCTGAAGAAGGGGAAGAATGTTGAACCGGAATCTTTCGGTTCCGTCACCATTTTCTTTTCGGACATCGTTGGGTTTACCGCCCTTGCCGCTAATAGCACGCCGTACCAGGTGGGTAAAATAGTCAGTACAAATCTTGTGTTTGTTTGTTCGCTGCTTAAAGCTGTATTCAGCAATATTCCAGCAATACGGAGGTCATATAATCGAGTCTGGACCAGACGATCCAGTGACTGGCATTATAAGCATCGATCTACACAATTAGGTTACGATGACATGCATGAACCAAATCGGCGAGCCTGACCACCCGATCCCGTTTGTTGCCTCTTACAACAAGTATGGGTTGCTGAAGATTAGTTCTAACCCAGATTTTCGCCCGGGACAAATACTTGTGTCACGTATAAAGAAATGGCGTATTACATATGTGAGTTCGTCATCCATATCAACTTAGAATAAAACATATGTGTTTATTAGCCTCACTCAAGGCTACAAGTTCCGTCATTGTAAAGGCGCTGATGGAAATGCCTCCTCAGAAATTGTGTCCCTTGCGTATCAGGATCCGCTGATCGTTGGTTTGAATCCCAGATCTAGAGGGTTTCACCCAAGTGGTAACATCTCTGTACGATCTGCGCCACGTTATGCTTGCCTTACACATTGGTGAGTGAGTGAATGTGTTTTACTTCATCTTTGAACAGTGTATCGGTTTTATGTGAGAGGAAAGCCAAACGTGATGGAGGCCTAAAGACGTTTGGAAACTTTTGTGAAAACCACGAGCACGGGTATGGTGGTGACAAACCTAGAAACATAATTAGGACGAATCCAACCAACGATTATAGGTTTCTGGCGCGACAAAATGATGAAACTCTGCAAAGCGAACTACGGTGGGCTACCAAGTACTGCCATCCAACGAATATAGAATCATCCCACAACGTCATCATAAAAACGGGGCCAGGGGTGGCCCAGTCATCAAAGACGCCGCAATTCGCTGTGCAGAGTTGCGTCCCTTGGGCACGCCAGAAACCTATGATTGTCGGTTCGAATCCCGGTTTGCCCCGATTATGTTTCTAGGTTTGTCAGCACCATACCCGTGCTCGTGGGTTTCACCGAAGTTGTAAACGTCTGAGACCTGCATCACTTCAGCTTTCCTCCCACATTAAGCTGACACGCCGTGATATAACTGGACTAACTCAACTCACTCACGAACGCAGCATAAAAACAAAAGAACCTGCAAGAATTCAAACTCTAGAAATATCTTGTATGATTATTGTGTCTATTATGACTTGTATTACAGTCGTACCAAGCTGCAGTATTTGCAATTACAAGTAAACTACGTTTATAACGAACTTAAAGGGACCACTAATTTTAGTTCGTAATAACTGTACTTCGTTATAAGCATATTTAAAGCATATATAAAGCAAATGGCCGGGACTAAAAAAAACAGTTCGTTATATCTGTCTGTTCGTAATATGCGTGTTCGTTATAAACGTAGTTTACTGGCTGTTTCTACAATGTAATTTCGCGAATTTGCATTTTCTAATATAACTTGTTATAAATTGAGGGACAAAAGAAACGATACCTCTCAGTTGATTTCATCATATTTTTTATTTGCAACTGAAATATTTTCAGTTAGCTATATAATATCCAAAAACATTACAGCATTGGTGCTTAGAATACATGTAGAAAAGAATACGTCTACATAGTTTTATGTTTTTAGATTTAATTTGATTTACAACTTTCAAATTTAAATTGTGGTAGCAAATCATACTACCAATATATTTTTCACAACATCATTCAGCTACAGATGATTTTTAATCGAATTTAAGTTCGGTATACTTTCTTTTGGCCCTCAGTTTAGTATTGATTCGGGAGCGGTATTGACATTAGGACGTTGTGCTTGTTTCTCGATCCAGTTTTTTTCTGATTATGTTTAAACAGTGATCTTTATTTTGTATTTGAAGGTGGTCAACTTCCTCAACGACCTCTACACCTGTTTTGACAACGTCATCGATACCTATGACGTATACAAGGTACTGCCTGTTCCCAAAGACATCTCTGCTAAAACCATCGTCCAGTGTACGATTCCTATAAGATAGCTTGTTCTTTAACCATTGGTGGAATCTTTCATCGTCTAAATGTATTTTTAGGACGGAAAACTTTAATATCAGTTTCCATTGGGCATTATGTCAAATAGAAGTTCACAGTATACATATTTACCGCCTCGACAATATCAACACTCGACAGTTTTTCACGTATATTGTTGTTGGGGTGTTAAATCGTTCAATCTACCTATTTCTTGATGAGTCAGATTGCGATTAAAATCATCATGACACGACCCCTCATGCTGTCATTCCCTGCACCGTTGATGTGCACGTGCAGTCCGTGTTTGCGCTGTTCCTCCTACCGCTGTGCCCCCCTCTGTTCAAATTGTCCACTTGTTCACATAACAGCATAACAACTTTTTCTAGTGATGGGAATAAAGTAAAAAAAAGCAGATCTTTTTTGGATACAGGGTATTCATTGCCGTGTACCGTATTGACATTTAATTGACTATTCCAGATTTGGGGTTATTTTGCACCTAATGGTGCATTTGGAGCCAAACGGGCTGTAGTTTAAATAACCCAAAATATATGACATTTGATATCTTTAACGTCGAAATGATTTCATCACAAAGTAATTTTTACCCCTTTGTTTCAGTAATTCTTTAGTGATTTTTTTATATTTTTTATGTACTGCTCATAGGTTCCATAATTCTTTTCCATAAATTATAAGTTTTAATGTGATTGTATATTGCTTCTCGTTATAATGTAACAAAGAGTCCACCCACCCCACACCAACATACACACACAAACCCCGGCCCCATCGGTGTGGTGGACTGTTTTTGTATAAAATCCATAAAATGTTTAATGAATCCCTAAAAATACACATTTCTTTGTCACACCAGTTTCTTGTATGTGTTCTACTGTAACACCAAAATGGCCCAGTTGGAATGTCATCAATGCTGTTATGAGCAATCGTATGTTTTCTGTAATATTGTCCCCAATTATCTATTATTAACATGCCAGAAGGTATATATGATTTCTCAGAAAAGAAAACATTCCTTTACATTGATGTAAAGAAGTTGTAGTATTCTTTGTTTTGCGAGTGACAGTTAAAAAAACATGATTTAATTGATTCTAGGACGCTTTTATCCGCATCCTTCTGAGTCCTCATTTTAACATTTACCCATAAGCCTATTCCTGTAGAAATAGATCATTTCTATTTGTATTCCCAACAGCGCATTTGTATTTTTTATTAAGATAACTCATTAATTCCTTTTAAGGACCTGAAAGGCTACAAACTGTAATAATGTCTCATGGCAAACATATTAAATTGTTATTAAGCTCTAAAGTGCAGGCTAATCTGGAAACACTGATTTTAGTTTCAACAAAATCAATAAACGCGCTATGTTGTCACTGGGCCCTTTGGTCAATCGCTTCATTGTCAGGTCAGGACTTGTTTGTTTAAAGGCCGCACTCGCACAGTAGGAGTACCCATTCAACCAGCAAACGGTCGATCAACATTTAGTAAAGGTTATTAATTGATTTGTTTGTAATATACGCCCTCGTGAGGAAGTGAGATAGCATGATGGTTAAAGCTAGTTAAAGTTGTTATGGAAAACCCGTTTCGAATTCGAAGCCCATTTCAGTGCTATAACATTATATAACGTAATACTGTAGCGCTGTGTGTAGACCCGTGAAGATCCGGGGTAGAATAGGTCTTCAGCAACCCATGCTTGCCGTAAAAGGCGACGATGCTTGTCGTAAGAGGCGACTAACGGGATCGGTTGATCAGGCTCGCTGACTTGGTTGATACATGTCATCGATCCCAATGGCGTGGATTGATTGTCACGATGTCAATCACTGGATTGTCTGGTCCAGACTCGATTATTTACAGACCGAAGTCATATAGATGGAATATTGCTGAGTGCGGCATTAAACAACAAACACACAAAAAGTGTAAGTAACAATATTATTATGTATAGCCAATGCCGGAATAGGACCAATCTCAATCATCCGCCGAAACAGATTCCACAATGGCAAATTAGCGTCTAAAAGTTTATGAATGGAGCGGTGACAATCAGTGATAACAGGTTTGTAGATCTGTCAGGGTAAGTCAGGTCTCTGTTTAGGTGAACACTCATGGTTAACTTCAGATAGGGTTATATTAATAGTGGTATCTGATTTAGAAACGCACTTGACGATCAATCCGACTAATGGCTGAATGACATAACAAGCAGTTCGGAAAGACACACTGCGTAAACGCATTACTATACATTAGAGATATCTGCTGTTGCTCTGGGGGAGTCCATTGGCAACCTGTACTCACTGGCGTTTAATGATTCTTCCTGGGTAAGATATATATCATGGCATCTTGGTCGGTAATCACAATAAGCACTAATATGTTGCATGTACTTTAATCAGTTTCTAGTCTTCCATTGTTAAATAATCTGCTTGAAAGAGATTTCTTACGGAGTTTTTTGCACCAGTTGTTTTGGAACAAAATTTCACCACCAATCATCTTAGGTCCTATAAATACACGTTTTATGCAATGCTTACCCCCTGGGAATACGATGAGAACGAAATCTGATCCCGTGTCGGCTCTGTGGCTCTGCTAATGTTATCTGGCACTGGTTTTATTCTCGTGCAGACACACTTGGTTCATCTTCCAGAGGTAAGGGTGTTAACTGACTATAAAAGTCTAGTTTCAACCCTTGCCGAACTAGGCTGGAATTCCGGAGTTACATTTTGGCTGGACTAACGAGTGTATGCATAGTCAAATCAAAATCGCGTAACAAACTAGACATCCAGTTCGTAAACAACGTGGATTTCAACGTGCAGATTTCGGTCGACTGCAGGGTTTGCAAAGCATGTATCCCGTCAACTGGGGGTCGACAGATATTTTGCAAATCTTTTAATATTTTTAGTCAAGGTGCTCAAGTGATTTGATGTACTTCGCCGGGTAAGACTCTTTTTATTGCAAAATTGATCTTGATTATCGATCAGATCGTCTTGACTGGGCGCTGCCATTTTGGTTCAAGTAAATGCAAGTGATATGAGAGGTGGAATCTGATTTGTCAATAGGAGGGACATAGGAGGGATATAACTCTTAATAGCCTCTGGTGGCGCTTCGATCGAGCATGGAAATTCCAGCTTCCTTCTGCAAGGGTGGAAACTGGACTTTTATAATTAAATCCCTTGCTGTGGTGATCTAGCTAGAACAGCACCAACTCACCCACCCGAGTAACACACTTGAGTGAGACGGTCCATCAATATTTCTAATTTAATTAACATGTATCAATATTATTTCATCCAACTTTCTTCACATTTATCAACGTGCAATTAAGGGTAGCATTTAAAGGGACATAATTCAAAGTCGTTATTTTATCTACAGTATTTCTTTAGTCAGCGTAATAAAATAGTTTATCCTTGGTGAATATATGAAGTTGTAAGAAATA